AGCAGCGCGCAGCAGCAGCGCGGTACGCCCCCAAGTGCCCCGCGCAGGAGCTGGCCGTCAGCAAACTCTTCGGGATCGTCTCCTGCTCCCACTTTGTCTTTTCTTTCTTCGGAGGTTTGCTGCTGGACTCTGTGGGGCCGCGGCTGACAGCAGCAGCAGGTTTGCTGGCAGCACTGGGGGGCTGGCTGCTGCTGGCGCTGTCTTCTGCTGCAGCAAATGGCTTTGTTGCTGCTGCAGTGCTTATTGGGGCTGGGGTGGACACCGCCTTTTTGCCGTGTCTCTCTGTGGCACAGCTTTTCCCCAGCCGCAGCAGCAGCACAATATCTGTCTTCGGCTGCTGCAGGGCTTTGTCCTTTTTGCTGCCGCTTGCTGTTCGTGCTGCAGTGGTGCAGCAGCAAGTTGCCACCTGCCGCCAGGCCCTGCTGCTCTACGCCTGCTTCTGCTTCGTTTTTTGTCTCTTTGTTGCTGTCCTTTTTTTGCCCCCGAAGCCCTTTACTGGCCCGCAGCAGCAGAAGCAGCAGCAGCAGCAGCTGCAGCAGCAGCAGCTGCAGCACGAGGGCTGGGTGGTGGAGGTGCAGCAGCAGGAAACGCCGTCCCAGGGGGACCGCCCCACGCTGAGCGCCGCAGAAACGGGAGAAAGCTGCGAACTTGCAGCAGCAGCAGCAGCAACGGCAGCAGCAGCAGCAGACTCTCCCCCCTCACCGCTGCCAGTGCCCTCAGACGTAGCAGCAGCCACAGCAGCAGCACCAACATCAGCACCACCAGCAGCACCAGCAGCAGCAGAAGCAGCACCAGCACCAGCAGCACTAGCACCAGCAGCAGCAGCGGCACCGGCGCTATCACCAGAACCAGCAGCAGCAGCAGCAGCAGCACCGGCGCTATCACCAGAACCAGCAGCAGCAGCAGCAGCAGCAGCAGCAGCAGCAGCAGCAGGTCCGAGCCTGCGGTCGGAGTGCTGCTCGAGTTTGTACTTGCCGCTGCTGCCTTACTTTTGCTTCACAGTGACGAACGCTGTGGGGTTTGCTCCTGCTGCGCTGCACCTGCTGCCAGCAGCTTACGAGTTCAGCCAAGTTGCAATAACCCTTTCTTTTCTTTTTAGTCCCCTTTTTGGGGTTTTGGCGGACCTTTTGGGGGTTTTGCCGGTGATGTTTGTGGTGAGCAGCTGCGGGCTGCTGAGCTACGTTTGCTGCTGCTTCCCGCTGCTGCCTGCTGCAGCGCTGCTGCAGCACGCCTCCCCGCTGCTGTTCGCGCTGCACTGCTCCTTCTTAATGAGCCAGCTCTACGCTTTTGCTGCTGCTAACTTCTCCCCACAAAACACTGGCAAACTTGTGGGGTTTGTGTCTGCTGCTGCTGGTCTTTTTTCCCTTTTGGGGGCCCCCCTGAGGGCCCTCGCGCTGCAGCACGGCTTCCTGCTGCTCTGCTACGTTGCTGTTGCCTTCGGCCTCGCCAACTACTTCATGCTGCTGCTGCTGCTGCTCGCCTCCAGGCGCAAACGCCGCCAACAGCGACAGCAAGCCCTGCTGCAGCAGCAGCAGCAGCTGCAGCTGCAGCAAAGCGCGCGGCAGCCAGCCGGCGGCCCAGCCAGCAAAGGCCCGTACTCGACGGACCTTGAGGTCTAGAATGGGGAATAACTCGCAGCAGCAGCAGCAGCAGCAGCAGCGGGGGCAGCGGCGTCAGCAGCAAGAGCGGCAGCAATGGCCGCAGCTGCGGCAACGGCAGCGACAGCGGGGGCGGAGAAGCTGGAGGGAAGACACCAAATAAAGTAAAAGCCGGTGCTGCTGCTGCTGCTGCTGCTGCTGCTGCAGCAAGCAACGGCAGCAACAGAGAGCGGCAGCAGCAGCAGCTGGCCTGCAGGAACAGCATGTACAACGCAGTCTTATTTCCTGTAACAGTGTGAAGGCTACCGCAGCAGAAAGTGAAGATTTTGCCTGCTGCAGCGGCTGCTGCTGCAGCGGCTGCTGCTGCAGCGGCTGCTGCTGCAGCGGCTGCTGCTGCAGCGGCTGCTGCTGCAGCGGCTGCTGCTGCAGCGGTTGCTGCTGCAGCGGCATTGTTTTTTAATGTGCACAGCAGTTTATTCCCGTGCAGTTGCATGGGCAGTTAGTCGAAGAGCAAGTGAGCCCCCACACGAGGGCCTCTGTGCAGCGGCTGCTGCTGCTGCTGCTGCTGCTGCTGCCGTTGCTGCGGCGGCTTCAGCACCAGCATCAAGCAGCAAACTATGTTTCAGAAGACAAGAGAAATCTCTTGTAGCCCTTTAGTAAAGGGTGCTTGTCGGCGTTCCTTTTCTGCTGCTGCTTTTGCTGCTGCTGTTGCTGCTGCTACTGCTGCTAGAGCAGAGGCACTACTGAGGTCTCGCTAGCTAGTGCGTAGAGCTACTGCAGCTGCAGCGAGGGCTGCAGCGCAGTACCTGCGGTCAGCAGCAGGTGCAGCAGCAGCGGCAGCAGCAGCAGGACAGGGTGGGAAGTGTGACGCAGTTAGAGCCAATTGTCGTTTTGGTTTGCCTTTTGGCAAAAGAGAAGTGCCCCCTTTGAGGTGTACGTACACCCCAAGAGAACAAAGCAAAAGAGAAAGCAGCAGCAGCAAGACGGAGACAAATACTGCGCTCCTACAGCTTCTCCCTCTGGGCCAGTCGGGCCTTCAGCAGCAGCAGCAGCTGCTGCTGCTGCTCCTGCTGCTGCTGCTGATGCTGGTGCTGCACTGGAACTGGATGCTTCTGTGGCTGCTGCTGCTGCACTAGAACTGGATGCTTTTGTGGTTGCTGCTGCTCTCCTCACTTCAGTTGCTGCTGCTGCACCGTCTCTTGGGTGTCTCGAACGAACGCTGCGACTGCCGCTGCTGCGGCACGGCAGCTGCTACCACTGCTGCTGCAGCAGCAGCAGCAGCTGCTGCTGCTGCTGCTGCTGGCTTCAGACTTTGGCGCCTGCCATGCGGAAGAGCTCCTTCGCCTTTTCGTGGCGGTCAAGAAGGCGCATAAAGCGCTGGCGAATGCGGGGGTCCTTGAGTTGTTCAGGTGTCTGTACACCGCACACGCGCAAGCCCTAAACCCTAAACCCTAAATTCCACGCGCCGTCGCTGCAGCAACTACGCAGCAGCAGCTGGCTAAGCTGCAAATCTGTCTAGCAATTTGGCACTGCCACGACAGAGGCAGTCTCGGGCAGCCGAAGCAGCACCCGAAGATTTGCTGGTGCTGCTGCTGTTGCTGCTGCTGCTGTTGCTGTTGCTGCTGCTTCTGCGACTTACTGCCATGAGTTTATTCACGTCGAGACCTTCCCTACGGCCATCGTCTACAAACTCGGCCCACCCAGGACACACTGACAAGTCGCTGCTGGCTTGCTGCTGCTGCATGAGCTGCTGCTGCTGCTGCGACATGGGTTGCTGCTGCATAGACAGCTGCTGCTGCGGCTGCATAGGCTGCTGCTGCTGCATGAGCTGCTGCTGCTGCGGAGGCATAACCTGCTGCTGCTGCATAGGCAGCTGCTGTGGCAAAGGCTGCTGATGGTGCAAAGGCTGCTGCTGCATAGGCTGCTGCTGCTGCATGAGCTGCTGCTGCATAGGCTGCTGCATCGGTGGCTGGTGTTGTTGTAAAGGCTGCTGTTGCATAGGCTGCTGCTGCTGCATAAACTGCTGCTGCTGCATAGGCTGCTGCTGCATAGGCTGCTGCTGCTGCATAGGCTGCTGCTGCTGCATTGGCTGCTGCTGCTGCATTGGCTGTTGCTGCATAGGCTGTTGCTGCATAGGCTGCTGCTGCTGCATAGGCTGTTGCTGCATAGGCTGCTGCTGCTGCACAGGCTGTTGCTGCATGGGCTGCTGCTGCTGCTGCTGCATTGGCTGCTGCTGCTGCAAAGGCTGGTGCTGCTGTTGCATTGGCTGATGCTGCTGCTGCATAGGCTGCTGCTGCTGCAAGGGCTGCGGCTGCAAGGGCACCATAAGGGTGTGCGCGGTGTGCTGCTGCATGCGGAGAGCTTGCTGCTGCTGCTGCAGCAAAAACGGGTGAGCTGGCAGCACAGGCACAGGATGCAGCAGCAGCCCCTGGGGCCCCAAAATGGCCCCAGGCACAGGGACTCTGACGAAGCCGCCTGGGGCCTGGTGCAGCAGCCTGGCAGCTTGCTGCTGCTGCAGCAGCTGCTGCTGCTGCAGATGCTGCTGCGAATGAAGCAGCTGCGAGTGCGCCTTCATGTGCTGCTGCGGCTGCTGTGGCTGCGCCGGTTGCTGCGCTGGTTGCTGCTGCTGCTGCTGCTCGTGGTGCCGCAGAGAAGGAGAATCATCGTGAGCCTTTGCAGCAGTCTGCTGCTGCGCTGCAGAAGCAGCACCTGATGCTGCCACTGTAGCGCCTTGTCCCTGCTGCTGCTGCTGCACCGGCTGCTGCTGTAGCTGCTGCTGCTGCTGCTGCTGCGGAGGCGGTGGGGGTGGCGGCGGTGGTGCCGGCACAACGGAGGCTTCCTGCTGCTGCAGAACGCTTGCGACAGTCTGCTGCTGTTGCTGCTGCTGCTGCTGTTGCTGCTGCTGCGCAGGCGGCTGCACTTTCTGCTGCTCTCCCGCTTGCTGCTGCTGCTGCTGCTGCTGCTGCTGTTGCTGTTGCTGCTGCTCCCTGTTGAGCCGCGTGAGCCCCCCAGGAACTGAGGCCTCGAAGGCATCCACATGCTTGCTCGGGGCCCTGCTGCTGCCTTTGGCTCTGCTGCGGAAAGGGTCTGCTGCAGCACGGCTGCCCAAAAAGCCCCCAGCAGCAAAAGGCAAACGGCCCCCACCCCCGGGGGCCCCAAAAGAGGGGCCCCCCCTTGCTGCTGGCAGCGGCTCTGTGGGCGGCGGCACCTCCACGGGGGCCTGCGAGGAGCAGCAGCAGAAGCAGCAGCAGCAGCAGCAGCAGCAAAGGGACAAGAGGAAGTAGAAACCTCTTAAAAGCAAACCAAAGTACGCGAGATACTCCACGGAGCCAGCAGCAGCAGCAGCAGCAGCAGCAGCAGACCGTCAGGGCACGCAGCAGAAATAGCCGACGGGCCAAAAAGACATAAAGACAAAAAAAGGAAATAAAGACAAAGAGAAATTTAAAAGGAAACAAAAAAGACAAAAGAGAGACAAAAAATAGATTAAAAAGAGATAAAAAAGACTAAAGAGAGAAAAAAGGCGTATAACTAAAACACTGGGAGGCCCAAGAGCCGCCGCAGCAGCCGCAGCAGCAGTAGAAGCAGCAGCAGCAGAAAAGCAGGATACAACTGAACTACAGCAGCAGGAGAAAATGACAGAAATAACTGAATTGCAGCAGCAGCAGCAGTAGCAGCAGGAGCAGAGAAGACCGGAGACGAATGAGGCAGCACCGCAGCAGCAGCAGTAGGAATAGCAGCAGCAGCAGCAGCAAGCGCTCACAGCTCTTAAACGGGAGAAGGGATCGGACAGCCACAGGGGAAGGATCGTCTCCTCCGCCTCCTCCCCGATCCCACAAACGTAGTCAAGGGGAGCAGCAGCAGCAGCAGCAGCAGCAGCGCAGCCGCGGGCCTCCTGCAGCAGCACAGAGGACGGCACAACCACGCCCTCACGCCATGGCAGCAGAAGCAGCAGCAGCTGCAGCAGCAGCTGCAGCAGCAGCTGGCAGTGTCGTGCTGCGGCTGCTGCTGTTGCTGACACGGAGCAGGCACACGGCAGCGGCTAGTAGCAGCAGCACAGCAGCAACAAGTTAAGAGCAGCAGCAAAAGCACCAGCAAGAGAAGCAGCAGCAGCAACAGAAGCACTAACAGCACCGGCACGAGCATCTCCCAAAGCGCCAGCAACAGCCGCAGCAAGATCGGCAGCAACAGCCGCAGCAGCACGAGCAGCAGCAGCAGCAGCAGCAGTTCTTGCCTCGTTGAGCGTGTGTGCTGCTATGCGCAGCACCGCCTCCAAAGCAGCATCTTCTGTCCAGGGGAGACGATCCCGATCCCCAGGATTTGGAGTGGAGCGGGAGACAAGAGAAGCAACAGCATAGTTGCTGCGGCGTAGAGACACAAGAAAAGCAGCATCGAAGTGCTGCGCTGCTGCGCGCCGCTGCTGCTGCTGCTCTGCTGCAGCAAGCTGCGCCAAACGGCCCTCGGGAGAAAACGCCGCAGTCGGCAGCAGCTGCACATGCGGTCCAGCGCACACAGCACACAAACACGCCATCAGCAGCAGCAGCAGCAGCAGCAGCAGCAGCAGCACCAAAGGCAGCAAGGCGAGAGCAGTAGCAGCAAGGTTAAAAGCAGCAGCTGCAACGGGAAGATAGCTGCAACAGCAGGGGCAACGCGGCTTGCAGCAACCTCTGTGTTCTACCTAACCCCTGCTTCTCAAGCAGGGGCAGCAGCAGCAGTACGAGCAGCAGCAGAAGCAGCAGCAGCAGCAGCGGGCCACCTAATTACCAGCGGAGCAGCCTCGATAGGAGCAGCAAATATCTCAATCTCCAGAGTCTTAGCTTCGTGGTGCGTCAGCAGAGCCAGCCGAGTTTGCTGCAGCAGCAAAGAGACACGGGAGCTTCCCCGCTGCTGCGTCGACAGCAGCAGCTCGCTCTGGGAGAGAAAAGCCAAAAGACACCGCTGCAGGTCCCGCAGCAGCAGCTTCCGGGGGTCTTCATCCACCTCGCACAGCATCTCTTCTGCTGCTGCAGCATCTGCTGCTGCTG